CGTTATTGAAAAAAATTATATCGCGATACATATTGATATTGAATTATTGTCCAGCCCTACTATCAGCATATGAATTAATGTAGTACAGAAGACGGGGCTCTTTGACCAATCAAATGTAAGAGGCGTTTCAGCACCGCCCACATGTGTGAATTAAATATTGAAGCCATAAACCGATTTGTAAACCACAAACAAAATAGGAGATGTCAAGCCAAAATCTCATTTTCCGTTTGCTAAACAATATGAAAAAAAAACAAACTTTACATTTCTCAACTGTATTTAATCCGTGTATCATTTGTTAGGCGTTTCAGCACCGCCCACATGTGTGAATTAAATATTGAAGCCATAAACCGATTTGTAAACCACAAACAAAATAGGAGATGTCAAGCCAAAATCTCATTTTCCGTTTGCTAAACAATATGAAAAAAAAAAAAACTTTACATTTCTCAACTGTATTTAATCCGTGTATCATTTGTTTTAATTTTTTCGATTTTTTTCCAAAAAACGAAAAACGAGACTTCAGCTTACATTTTCGTTTTTCATTCAGGGGTAGAAAAATGAATAAACAGCTTGAATATTTGATTTCTACACGTGGGCGGGAATTAAATGCCCCTTTCTGCTGATTGGTCAGCCGAAGATCAATAATAGATCAGAATAATAGTCCTCCGCTGCTGCAATTGTACGGATTCTTAACGCATTTATTGCAACTACATTTCATCTTTTTTCATCAAACAGACTAATGAATAGCTCGACACAACTTCTGTGTAGATATAAATTCTACGCTTTGCATCAGCTGCATGGCAGGGTATGATATGACGGCTGCCATAGCCTACCCTGCTCACCCAGTAAGTCTGTTTGTTTAATTAAGTAATTAATTTATTAATTCGTTTCAAAATAAATATTTTACACACTAAAAAGGAAAGCATAATAAATTGGCTTGGGTGTATAGGCCTATAATGTTCATGCAAGAACTGTCATTCTGACTGACAACCGGAGAACAACATATATTAAATAGTCTACTTTTAGAGTTTTATAATGTATCTTGTGTTTTATTCAAATTGATTATAATTGATATCTCAAGAGTATATGCACTTGTGCGCGGCGTCAGCTGCTGCACACTTGCACACAGGACTGCAACGCAAGATTTTCATAAAATATAATAACTTGCCATTTCGGTTTGTTTCTCACCAAACCCACAGTATACCTTCAGAATGCTTGGAATATACGCCACGAGACAGGATTATTTTATGACAGATATGCATTTGCTTAAAAAACAAACAAACAAAAAAACCTAAAGTCACCATTCTCTGCCATTAAATTGGCAAGTGTGAGCAGGACATTTTTGTGTTAAGTAATAAGCCTTTAGAACAACATTAAGGCG